TTCAATTCAAGTTTGTGATCTGGTATGCCAGGGAGAGTGTCCTTTAAAAACAATCGAACTGTGGCATCCAGATCAGTAATTGACTCTGGAAGTCCTCTAATCCTGAAATTGCCTCTCCGAGACCGATTTTCAAGGTCGTCTATTTTGGCTCAGAGCCTCATCTAATTGAGTTTGTGCAGTTTGAATATTAGCAGCATTTGTGTTTGTACGAGCAATTGTGGCATCTACCTTTTGCTCAATGGTGTCGATCCGTGTACCCAATTCCTGGAAATCTGCTTTTATGTCCGCTATGATTTGTCTGGCGGTGCGAGCTAGTCCTTTGTCTAAAAGATCGGACAGTTTAACAATTAAAGGGTGATCATCTGCTATATCCACTTGAACATGGTCGCCATGCAATATGCATGGTGGCTTATATTCAGCTGGAAATTCTATCTGAGTAGATAGTATCTCCTTTATTGTACGCTCAATAAGGGAGACCCTAGAAGCAGGTGATTTTTGATCAGGAGAGTCTGTACTCACTGTTGTCCGGTGCATAGAATCGGAGGAATCTTCCACATCGCTGTGCCTAGCTCATGGCTGTTTCTGCTGTGTAAGAGATGGCGAAGATGCGACATCCATCTTAAAATTCCCGGTCTCAGGCCGATGCTTCTGTGATTGCTTTCCTAGACCTCTCGGTCTCCCCCCGGCCATCGAGATGTATTTAATACTTTTAGGTATATATGTAGTTCCTACTGGTAAGGAGAGAAAATAGCTCACATCACGTATCTATGTTAATGGTCCCAGGTCAAGCACCCAAGTCTGCGATGTAAACGGAAATATTGCTGGTATTCTCCACAAATGGTTTATAGTCCATCACTCACTTGGACCGCCTTTTAATTATCAAGCTAATTACAATCAGCATGAGACAGGCCTGAGAGATTAAAGCATTTGGAACCTCTATGTACATTCCCTTTAAGACAGGCACAGCTGTATTTAATTCAAAAAGTCCTCCAGACCATTAGCCCTTCACAATAATCTTGTGTAATATTAGCACCTCAAATACTTGCAGTGCAGCTGAGTAGCTGAGTAGCAGTGCTTTGCCACTAGCAAAAATCCATGTTTTTAGGGATGTCCCGATGCCACTTTTTCAGGCCCAAGTACAAGTACAAGTACATCCCCTCATGTACTTTCCGATACCAATTACCGATACTTTTTCTTAAAGGGACAGGTGACTTTAAATGATCCATAGTAGAACTACATGTTATGTACTATGGATCATGGTTTAACCTATTCATGTTAGCAGTGGAGAATTGTAACTCTATTGCTGGAGTGTAGTGGAGGTGTGTGCTGTATATATGCACTACATATACATTATACACGTCCGCTAACATAGCGCAAGCTTCGGCGCTAGGCTTCGGGGCATTTTGACAAGTACAAGTACTTGTCAAAATGCCCTGTATCGGGCCCGATTCCGATGCTAGCATCGGTATCAGGACATCCCTACATGTTTTAATGCATAGTCCTCCCGTCACTTAGCTAATCACTGACCCAGGTTAATTCAGACCTATGTTGAAACAGTTAGCCCAATATTAACCTAAATGGCAGTCTTGCATAGTTTTTAAAAAAGATACTTGCAATTCAGTGGGTGGAGGTGCATAACAGTTAGCGAGAGTTCATATGTGCTGCGTATGTAGGTAAAGCCCTGGAGCCCACACTAGTAGCCAGCCGGCTCCTGCCCCATCTCACGGTATGGCTCTATCCCCATCCAGGACACGACAGGTCTCCCAGGTCAGCGGCAGCAGGCAGTCCAGCATCCACCCTACTCCGCTCGGACGCCCAGCATCAACAGACGGCGCAGCCTCAGTCCGTCATCAGGTAGGGGAGGAGCCGCCCGGCTCCTCTCACAGATGCGACCACGGAGCTCTCCGTCCGACCGGCTCCAGGCGAAACCATGTCCTCAGGTAACTACCTAGATCTCGGACCTTTAAAGCCCCTTGCAGCGGGTATATAGAGAGCAACCAAAAAGCTGGGGCCAGGATGTTGCGGCTGCCGTGGCGCAGAGCTCCCACGCTAAGCAGCCATCTTAGCGGAGTTTGCGCAATGCGCCCCACTGTAAGAGTTTGTCTGGAGTTCAGCCTCATCTCAAAAATGCTTTCTGTAGTGCAATTCCTTCTTGTCCTTTTTGTACTGTGATTGGTTATCTTACCATCTCTGCTATGCCAGTTAAGGAGAAAATGTTTTCCAAATGCCCCTTGGAAACTTCATCAAGAGGATTCTTAGCTCAGATGACATTTTAACTGGCAGACAATTTCCTGGTGAGAGAAATATTTTACATGCCCAAAAGAATGAAACTCCAGACACTGTTTTTAGTTTTGGATGGAATAAGGAAGAGTTAAAGTTACGTTAGATTTTTATTTCTGTTTGTTGCACCCATGGGGAGGTTTTCCTTCACATGCTGTCTTTTTGACGCCTACACAAGAGATGGGGTGGGGAACGGTTGTCACCGTTACGGGATGACAGGGATAGAAAAATTGTCAGAAGATCTTATCTTTACTCATTCTGCTTAAAATGCATTTGTGTTTTTGTCTGTATCCCTGTTGGGGAGTATTTTCATAACTTCTTGTTAAAGGAAGTGAAGGAGTAGGGAACACCCAACAACAAAAACCTGATGGAGGCTGTAAAGGTTCCCTGCTCTGTCCAAAATCTACAAAACTAAGGTAGCATAATCTGTCAGCGCTTACCTCTTCATTGTTTCATTTAGGTCAAAATAGCTGATTTGGCAAAAATTCTCCAATTCAGATTACTTTTGAGTTCAGCTATGTTGTCCTAGATTGTTCACTTCTCCTGCCTTCTCCAAACTCTTCACCCTTTTGTGAATAGCCCTGTAAATACAAATGTTGGCTTTAGTTTGGTTTTAAAGGCTAATTTATATATATGCCGCTGACACTCAAATATATCTTCATACTCCACAACTCACCCCCTCAGTGTCCTTGCGTGTCACTAATCTACTAACTGACATATCAGTCTGGATGTCACAACCGTTCTTAAAACTCAACCTTTCAAAAACTGAGTTCATGATATTTCCTCCTGCCCATGCAACTTCCCCCAACTTTTCCCTTGCAATTGATAACACAACTCCAAAGTAGCAAACAGTATATAACAAAAGCGCCAGGTGCTTGTATCCCAACACAGAGAATATCTGTAGTGATCTCAAAGTAAAACCGCAGATGGGGCAGGCTCTCAGACAGGCTTTGGGAAGCCTCAACTCTGGAAGAAACAAAATACAAAGAGCGCCTCCATCGCGTAAAAACGTTTTAATAAAGTGGATTTAAACAAGTAAAACCATACTCACAAAGGTAGAATTTTTACAGGCATGAATAGATAAAAAAATTCATGCCTGTAAAAATTCTACCTTTGTGAGTATGGTTTTACTTGTTTAAATCCACTTTATTAAAACGTTTTTACGCGATGGAGGCGCTCTTTGTATTTTGATAACACAACTATCCAACCCTCCTCCCATGCCAAGGTGCTAGGTGTCATCCTTGACTCGGACCTCACCTTTCTGCCCCACATCCAATCACTATCCAAATCCTGCCACCTTCACCTTCGTAACATCTACAAAATATGCCCCATCCTCACCAATGAAACCGCAAAGCTACTCATCCACTCACTTGTTATCGCTCGTCTTGACTATTGTAACTCCCTCCTCATTGGCCTACCTCTACACAGGCTATCCTCGCTTCAGTCTATCATAAATGCAGCTGCTAGACTCATCCACCTAACCAACCGCTCAATATCTGCAATATCTGCAACCCACCTCTGCCAATCCCTCCCCTGGCTTCCAATAGCACAAAGGATACAATTCAAAACATTAAAAAACACTTACAAAGCAATCCACAACTCTGCCCCCGGCTATGTCTCAAACCTTGTTTCAAAGTATCACCCTAATCGTCCCCTCCACTCTTCCAAAGACCTCCTGCTATCAAGTCCCCTCATCAAGCATCCCATGCTCGCGTCCAGGACTTCTCTAGAGTCTCTACCATCCTCTGGAATTCTTTACCCCAACCTGTCTCTATCTCCCACTCTGACAGCCACCCTACTTACCTGAATTGGGGGATTCTTCTCCTAATGGGCCTCTGTGTATTTTTTCATTTGGCATGTCATGCATGCACAGTCAGGTCATTTATCCGCAATCCATTAACAGGAGGGAAAAGCTAAAACTCCCATCTGCCACTGCAGCAGAGGGACTCATAGATCTCAATGGAGTACAAGTGTGAGGACGTCACTGCACTTGTAGTCTGTTGATAACTTCCTCCAGCTCTGTAACTGTAGGGCCATACTGAGGTAGGAGGAAGAGTCTACAGGATCCACTGATTGTGGTTGCAATGCTTTGCAGGCTCCAATGAAAAAATTAGTAAATGCAGTTTTTTTTCCTTTTTGCAACATGAGTGCATTTTGTTTGCAAAATGTTAAATATTCCTTTAATAAGAAATGGGTAAAGAAGCTAGAAAAGTAATAAAAAGAATTCTAGCTTACCAGCCAGAGATTAAAAACATATGTGGAACATGTTCACAGAAAGAAGTAATTACTATAGTGTACTATTTTTCATTAGTCATGTTTTCACATTACAGCACAGTAGTAAGAACAGCAATATTTGGCCGCACAACTGGTATGACTAATAGAAAATCCCCTAGCTAACATAACTTCCTGACCCAAAATGTAAAAAAAAAAGTGTAAAACCATGTGACACGGCTTGTTTCATTGTTCATTTTCATGCTAACTGACATTCTCTTTTCTTTCTCTGATCTGGAGCAGCTACATCTATTTACATTCACTGCTGGATTAAATCACACCAAGTGCCCACCAGTGCGGTCTTTATCTTCTCTGAAAACTTCCACACCAGAATGTAACCGAAAAAACAAAGTCCGTGCTTTGCTGGAAACCTTCTGAACCTATCTATGATTTGGAAAGCAAAGGACAAAGACAAATTAAAAGTATCTTACGGAGCCCATCTCAACAACATGGATGGACAAGATAGAAAGCTGGTTTGGTTTCAAAAACTTGGCTATGCAGAAGAAGATATAAAGAAAGCATTGAAAAAGCTGGGTGAAAAGGCACTGGATAACGATGTTTTACAGGAGCTCATAATCACAGGAAACAGAGCACAAGCTGAGAAGGATACCGTATCCCCAAAAACCGTCATGCCAAGGCTGGTGGCTCGTGGGTGCGGCGGCACAGAAGACACTGAAAAGAGAAACCATACAAAGGAGGACAGCAATCATCCTTCCAACAATTTAAGAGCTATAGTCATAGACGGTAGCAATTTAGCAATGAGGTAGGGATTGATCCGTCCTCAAATTTCTTTATAAGTTTTGTACATTATAGTATTAAAGTGCGTCTAAAAGCAAGCCATATTATCACTTCCCTACTCTGTCCTAAACTACAAATAAAAGTTTTGCAATGATCAGATTTGAAGATATTTAAACTTAAATTATATTCAATAGTTAACTTGGATGTACATTTTTACATAATCATTATCTCCTTAACTTTGCTTAATACTAATGGTGGATACTCTTAAATTCTGCTAATCAAAGTTGGAATGTTATATTCAGGGCTTGAAAAATTTGACGGTGTCTCACCAGTCAGTCAAAAATTTCACCAGTCAGCATGACCGGAATATAGCTTTGCAATTTATGTAAAAAAAATTTGGGGACAGATAGAGCTTTCTTTTGTGACCCCACGGGGGGTTATTTTCTTTTACTATATAATGAAAAAAGTACCATAAATGTAAGAAAAAAAAAAGGTTCCCTGCGTTTATTCTTACCCATATTTTTAGTAAAACATAAAAGTCGGGGTCACGTCGGGTAAATAGACACCAAACATGTCAAGCCTTAAAATTGCGTGCGCCCGCAAAATCACAAAAAACGCCCATAGGCGACGATTAAAATGCTTTTACTGCTCATCAGTTTAGTGTTATCAGTGATTAATGGCTCTCAAAAATTTTTGCTCTCACTCCGACGTTTGCAGCGATATGTAACATGTGCGGCACAATATGCGCAATCGTCGTTTTCGCACGTAGGCGCACCCAACGCATATCTGCGTGTGTATGTGGGGGGCGGGGACTTTAAAAAAATGTTTTCTTTTTTAATTTTTTTATGCTTCTTTATTTTTTTATGAATCTTTACTTTTTTTATTACTTTTTTTTTTACACATAACTTTATTGCTATTACATGGGGGGCTAGGAAGCCCCCTATGGGATAGCCAATTTACATGACAGGTCCTCTTTATGGAGACATCAGGAGTCTCCAAGGGACCCCCAGAGAAGCTGATGAAGCATAGATCGGCTTCATCAGCTTCTGTAGCTGGAGAGTGACACTGAATGCAGGAAGTGATGTAATATACATCACTTCCTGCATTCGGGGACTGAGAGGAGATCAAAGTGTGTTCGTATACTGAACTCCCTTTGATCTCTTGTCACAGAGCCGTGCCGGTCCCGGGCCGCATCGGGCACAGCGGATCTCGGGACCGGCAACGGCAGTGACAGCTGCTAATACAAGCGATCGAGCGTCTCTAGAGAAGCTCGATCGCTTGACTGTGTTAAGGTGCCCATACACCTTACGATTATCGGACAATTTTCGTATGCGATCGACTTTTCGTCCGATAATCGTATGTGTGCATTGCAGTGTCCGACCGACATTAATGTACAATCGTACGACTTTTAAAGGTCAAGCATGTTTGAAAACTTTGCTAGATTTTACGATTTTCGTAAGGTTGCTGGCGTTTCCGTCCGTCAAAAGCCGTACGATCTACACTGCGCTGGCGCTAACGAAAATACGGCAAATCAATTACCACATTTCGTCCAGGTGCTTTTCGTTAATTACGGCTAAATTAATCTTGCGATCATCGGGGCAGGATGGGGCTGCCGTACGAAAATCGTACGACTATTCGATCATCGGACGAAAAGTTTAGTCCGATAATCGTAAGGTATATGGGCACCTTTAAGCTCCCGGCCGGCCGTTATAATTACTGCTCGTTGGGCTCCACCGTCCTCTCGTCACAGACGAGTGGACGAGTGGATTTTTCAAGCCCTGGTTATATTATTAAAATGTGTGATTTTCTTTCTTATCCTGACATTGTTAAATGTGCAGGAACTGCTGCGGTTGATGCCCAGCGGAATAAAGTAACAGTATACAAATTAATAGGGAAGGTCTAATTTGTTAGGCTTCATAATGCCTTGTTAAGGCTATAATACTTTTCATAAAGGATCTTATTTATGCATTTGGTGTGATACCTATTCACTCTGGCAAGCATACTCCTTGTATGCTGCATATTAAATATGGTCCTCGTGCATTGTGTCGCGGCATTCTGTAACCACTTGCTGTCCGGAGCAATTTCTTAATTTTTGCACACACATGATAAAATCTTTAATTTTTGGCTATAAAACAACTTGAAACTTCCAAACAGTTGCATATTGTTTGAAAGCAGGGGCTCTGTAGAATAGAAAAATACTAGTTGCAATTTTTTATGCAAATGTGTATCAAACCAATAGTTTCAGGATAACATACACTAAAATTAATTTTAGTGCACACAAACACAATATATTACCCATTTTTTGCTAAAATATAAAATATGGGGTCATGTTGGGTAAATAAATACCCATCACTTTAGTGTTAACAGTGATTGATGGCCCTAGAATTATTGGTCTCTTTCTGATGCTTGTGGTGTTGTGTAACATGAGTGGCGCACTAGTCCTTTTCGCACTTAGGTTCACCTGACGTTTGTTTCACCAGCTTCTTCTCTGGCTACAGCAGCCAGAGAAATGACAGGCTGAGTGTTTTGTCACACCATGTCCGGAACAGATCTGGATGTGTTTCTGCAAATGCGGGCATGTACGTTTTTTATGTGTTTTTGATGCATTCTGGTGCTTTTTTTGTTCATCCCAATTGGCTTTTAGGTGCGTTCTGGTGTGTTTACATGTGTTTTTGTGTGTTCCAGACAATAAAAAATGTGACATGCTGGACTTTTTTTGAAAGCTGTGGAACTGAATGCAGTGGTGTGAACTACACTCAGAAAAACCATTAGACACAAACGAGCACTTAACCCTTGCAGGTCTGCACCTGTTATTCATTTTTTTCCATAGAGTTCTTCTTTAAATGAAAAATTGTAATTGCATGTTGATCGGAGGAGGGGACAACAAGGCAAGGTATTAAATGTGTAAACTACACTGACGCTCCCTTTTTTTTCTCTGTTTTTGTAACTGTTGATTATTGATGGATGAAATGAGCCCAATGATTGTTATCAAGGATGGACTGATAGGAAAGTATATAAAACTTGTTTATGACACATGACGTATGAAAAATACATATGTTATTATCTCTTTTTATTGTTTAGCCTGAAGAATGACTTCAAACAAAAGCCACAGGTATAAAGTGCAGGCACCCAAAGATGTCTGCACATACCTACAGCAGGTATGCAGGTAAAGCAGGTGTCCCCGCTCTTAATTCTAGGCTGCTCTGATCAGGTGTGTCTGGCTCCGTGGCTCTTCCTGCAAGTGCTGTCGTTTTCTCGACCCCATCAGCATACCACCCATTTCTATAGGAGAGTGAGACAGTCTATTATACTGAGTGGCCAGTAGGAATGAATGGGGGGATAATAGTCAGCAAGCTCCATCTATAACAGATTTGTGGGTGCCTGCACTTATAGCTGTGAGCAACTTGTTTTTTTCTTAAAGTGACAGGTCACTTTAGAAAAAATTTATTTGCTGTGATAAGCAGATACATTTTCATATTAAACAAACAGTACAAATAATTCCACCTGGATTCAACTGATGATATTGCAATTTTATTTCTATTCGCAGTCATGGAGGCAAGACGGTGTTCTCATGCAAAGGTATAGAAATTGCAGTGGACTGGTTTAGAAAGCGAGGGCATGACTACATTAAGGTGTTTGTGCCTTCCTGGCGGAAGGAACAGCCAAGAACTGATTCACCCACATCAGGTACATGTGTGTCTGCTTATCAAAACTAAACAGAAAAAGCGAGCCATTTGTTGAAGGATGTCATGAATGGAAAGAAATCTTATCAACAAACGTAATCTCCTTCTGTTTGACTACATTGACTGAAACATTCTTCTTGATGGATGAATAAAATATTGTGTGACTGACAAAAGAGTGAATGCTGCAAAGTGCCCATCAGTTCTGAGAGGATATGCTTCGGGTTTTGTCCTGAGTGTAACTGAGCAACATTTATGGAGGAACATCTTTGCAATTAGCAGGTTCATTTTTTAAAGTGATTGGGTTTGCACAAATTGCTACTATACTTAGTATATATTGGATTCTAACACAGACACATCTTATGTATGTTACCTTTATGGAGGTAGTGGACAGTTTTCCAGGCGAATGCAGACACTAAAGAAGGCCGAGGTCGAGGGTTTAAAGAACAGTCTGTGTTTACCTTAGCACCCCACAAGGGATGATGAACTTTGCTATGGACAACTCCCAGGTTGCAACCCTTGGTTACTTTTGGAGTTTTAACAGTTAACAGTGAGCAGAAATAAAGCGTGGGAGAAAGGTTTGTGGTCAAACAGGCAAAAGGTCAGAGTGGGTGGATAACAAGGGTCACAGAGAAACAGGCAGAGGTCGGAAACAAGTATCAGAACAGGAAGCCTGGGAACAGATACCTCAGACAGTCTTTGCTCAGGCAACTCCCAAGTGAATCAAGCACATCAAGTCCGCGGTGTTAAACCCCCTTCCCATCCAGGCCATTTTTCAGTGTGCAGCGCTGCAGTACTTTGATTGACGTTTATTCCGTCATGCAACGCTGCACTGAAATACATTTTGTACCATTTTTGGGGGACAGATAGAGCTTTCTTTTGGTGGTATTTAATCACCACTGGGGGTTTTTATTTTTTTCTATATTAAGGGAAAAGTACCAATTTTTTTTTCAAAAACTGTTTCCCCTATATTAAATGATAAAACATTTATTATTAAACAATTTTTTGGTAAATTATAAAAGACGGGGTCACGTCGGTGGCGGATCTCGAGGGGGGGGAGGGGGGTCACGGAGCCAGCACACACACGCGATTGATAGGCTATAGAGCCGCCGATCGTGTGTATGTGAAACAGCCGGAAACGGCTTTTTGCAGTGAACAGGCTTTTTCTGCCCATGCGCGCGCTCTAGGGGGGCGCGCGCGAGCAGAAAAAATATGCCGTCTGGAGACGGCAACCCGCAAATGCGAGTCCGCCGTCCGTCCGTTTTTTTGCAACGTGCGGACGGCAACAGGTTAAATAGTTGTTCTGAACATGACACATGACACTTGCTAACAATCAGCAGGGTTACTGTGAGAGCGTCCAAATATGCAGACTGAAAAAGACTTAGGGCAGGTTTCTTGAGTTCGAAAAGCAGTTGCACAGATGAACAGTGAACAAGTATGGGACCTACAGTAAGGCCCTCATATTTTTGGCAACAGTGACTCCCGCAGCAGCTTATAAAATGTTTAGTTTTACTTTTATTATTCCTAGGTACAAACTATTAGGGAAGCTGTGGTCATAAGCTGTAAGAAGTTTCATTTTTAAAGCAAACCTGTTTTGCAGAAATACAGGAAATCCTGAGATCTCCAATGAAAATGATAGTGAATTGGCTGTCATTCTGATCCAGTGGCTTAATTATTTTCTTTGTCACTGACGCAAAGCACTATCCAGTCAATCTGATATCACCTTAATATTTCTGACCTTTTTTTGTTTGGGGACAGAGACTCTACTTATTTTATGCAGGCGTGGCTTGGCAACTACATCTTTTAGAAAGAGGCTAGCACTTGCAGTTTCTGTGTTTCTTTCAGTACAGGCTTACTTTAAATTAAAATTGCCACCAGGATATTTATAATTATAAATAATATTATGAATGTATAATTGTAGCTTGAGCATACTGAATATGTTCAGATAAATAAGGACTATAAATACATAAAGCCTGACCCATTCTTTTTTTTTTAGGCAATTTGATTATGCAAGACAGGGCAGCAAAAAAACCAGCTGGTAAATATTTGGTATCTTCTTCCCTGAAGATCCATGCTTTTGAAGTATTCATTGTGCATAATGATCAGTGTTCAAATATATTATCATGTCAATACATGGCATGTCCCATAGCAAGCAAAATCCGAACACTTCCCAGTGGACACAATGCACATTTAAAAAGCTTGTGCAGAAATAGCTACAAAATCTACTTAGAAACAGAATGAAGATTATACATTCTTACTGAATAATAGCAGCAAAACAAGTCACTGTATGAAAACAAGCACTACATATTTTACTTTTGTTTACCACAAACCACGCTTACAACAGACATTTATCATCCTCAGTGGGGACAATTCAATGAAGCCTAAAGTATGCGGTATTAACTCTTTACTCTTTCGCATTATTTGAAACATATTTATCAGACATAAAACTAGCAATTATTAAAATATATATTGCACCTGTCACTTGACTTTACTGCTATTACATTACTGAATTGTGCAGTATTTTATGTGCCAAAGTCAAAATAAAAATTAAGTTTTCATTCCTTAAAGTGTATATCAGAGAATATTTTGAGGAAAAAAACCTATGCAGTACTTATACAATAAACGCACATTTCCCAATGTTTTAACAATACCTGTTGATTGCCAGAAATCCAGTGTAATCCTAACTTCCTGTTTGTGCAGGCTATTCCTCTGTGTCTCACTCTACTTTCACAACAAAAAACAAAATGTTGCTGCCATGACTGCCAAGAGCTTGCCCGCACTTGCACTTGCACAGCTTGTGTGTAGGGAAGGTGCTCTTGGGAGATATAGTTCTGGGTCAGCATGCTTACTTAAATAGGAACTGATCTCCCAGCAACTGCTCCTGCAAGAATTTATTGAGCCTGGTGAAGATGTCACAAGGGGTAATAAAAGCTGTTTGTTGGTACGGGAAAATGTAAAAGAAAAAAATGTTTACATTTCAGAGTGGAAGAGGGAGGTAAGGGGTAAAGGTATATAATGCCTGGACATATGATCCATATGAGGTGGCAATAAAATACAGATTCATGAGAAATTATCTATTTTGCATGCAAAACAACAACTGCACAGTGTACACCTTTTGTTGTGTTTATGCACGTAAACCAAACATTTTGATAAGCGAATGATTGTAAAAAAATATAGAAAACACATACACCCTTATGAATTAATAACAACAGATTGGATATAGGTTTTTACATAGGTTGTGTTCAATACAACCTATGTAAAAAATACTTTATATTTGTAATCTTTTTGTTTTTATAGACAGGCACATTCTGGATGATCTGGAAAAGAAAATGATTCTAGTTTACACTCCATCTAGAAATATTAATGGCAAGAGGATTGTGTGCTATGATGACCGCTACATTGTCAAACTGGCCTATGAGAAAGATGCCATCATTGTATCCAATGATAATTATCGTGACCTTCAAAGTGAGAATGTAGACTGGAAGCGCTTCATAGAGAAAAGATTGCTAATGTATTCTTTTGTAAATGATAAGTAAGTTATAATATCATAATCTATTACTTGGCAGTGAAAATTAAAATACATTAAGGGTAAACATTCAAAGATTATACTATAGCTAAAATGTCCTTGTTTATTGTATTGTAATAGATACACTGGCAGATGCCAGATAGAAATAATAGAGATGTTACCCACCAATCAAAAATTTACTGGAATTTTAAAAGGCTTCTTAGTTTTAATGATTATCATGCGAAATGCAAAAGGGAGACAGGGAAAATTTCAAGTCATGTGGTAACAACCTATGGCAGTCAGAACTATTGGGATGCCAGGAAAACATTTATGCCACAAAACTCCACGTATAAGTAAAATATGTGTAGACCGACCTTTGAATAAATCTCTATTATGACCTTCATTAACTGTATGTAGTATCTGCACTGTAATTGGCCTTTCTATGACTAACAATATCTAGACTGACAAAGCCTTATGTCAGCTTTGCTTGTACCTATTTAACTTTACTAGAATTGGTCCTCAGATGACACTTATTTTCTTTTTATACATAATTTCCGGACTCTCTGGATAAATAGTGACATAAATGACTAGTATAACTTGTACCTTCCACATTGTTAATAAAATGGAGATTGTTGAAAATGACTGATACTGTAGTTTTGTGAATTTAGGTTTATGCCGCCAGATGATCCATTGGGACGTCATGGACCTACACTCTCCAACTTCCTCAGGAAAACACATGCTGCATTTGACCCAGAAAAACAGCTTTGTCCATATGGTATGTTTTATTTAATAAAATACACAAAATGCATTTATTTTTACCAAAGGTTTTGTAATTTTGGTCAGCCATTCTTTTAATACACACACCTGGCTAAAGAGCAAGACCTGTTTACAAAATAACTAATTGATAAAGAAGTTCCATTGATAACAAATCTTTTTATGAATGGATTTCTCCATCAATGAATTGTATTATAAACAGAACTAATTGAAAACACTCTGAAAATATAAAATAAGTACATGGAAATGGTTTACCATGTTGTAATCTCACACTAAGCACAATTAAGGGGTTTGGAAACAGCAAAATCCATTCACTGAACCATAAGCGTGAGTGACAGGAGGACAATCTCAGTGCAAGCATTTCACTGTCACAATACTAAAGCAATAGGGAGTGGCTGGACTTATTTCAATGATAAGTCCAATACACAAAACTATCTTTATATATATCTATATAGATATAGATAGATATATATACATATACACACTATATTGTCAAAAGTATCACCTCCATTGCCACAGGTGTATGAAATCAAGCACCTAGGCATGCAGACTGCAACTACAAACATTTGTGAAAGAATGGGTCGCTCTCAGGAGCTCCATGAATTCAAGCATGGTACGTCCATCCGTGAAATTTCCTTGCTACTAAATATTCCACGGTTAACTGTTAGTGGTATTATAACAAAGTGGAAGCAACTGGGAACAACAGCAACTCAGCCACAAAGTGGTAGGCCACGTAAAATGGCAGAGCGGGGTCAGCACATGCTGAAGTGCGCAGAAGTCGCCAACTGTCTGTAGAGTCAATAGCTACAGACCTCCAAACTTCGTGTGAGCTGCAGATTGGCACAACAACAGTGTGTAGAGAGCTTCATGGAATGGGTTTCCATGGCTGAGCAGCTGCATCCAAACCTTACATCACTAAGTGCAATGCAAAGCGTCGGATGCAGTGGTGTAAAGCACGCCGCCACTAGACTCTAGAGAAGTGGAGACATGTTCTCTGGAGTGACGAATCACACTTCTCTGTCTGGCAATCCGATGGCCGTGTCTGGGTTTGGCTGTTTCCAGGAGAACGGTACTTGCCTGACTACATTGTGCCAAGTGTAAAGTTTGGTGGGGGGCGGATTAAGGTGTGGGGTTGTTTTTCAGAGGTTGGGCTTGGCCCCTTAGTTCCAGTGAAGGGAACTCTTAAGGCATCAGCATACCAAGCCATTTTGGACAATTTCATGCTCCCAACATTGTGGGAACAGTTTGGGGATGACCCCTTCCTGTTCCAACATGACTGTGCACCAGTGCACAAAGCAAGGTCCATAAAGACATGGATGAGTGAGTTTGGGGGAGAGGAACCTGACTGGCCTACACAGAGTCCTGACCTCCACCTGATATAAATTTATAATCTTCTGAACTACAGGAACAGACAGCAAAAGAACCGTGACCCTTCCCTATGCTATCCAAAACGAAAAATTTTTTTTTTTGGCTGGAGTTACATTTAAAAAATGTACCTGTCCCGACTTACATACAAATTCAACTTAAAGTGATATTAAACCCTCAGATTTTTTAACTTAAACCAATACGGTAATGTGTGCCTTACTGTAATCCATCCACAGGGCAAAATTAGAGGGTAATTTTGCTGAAATTTTGGCAAAGGTAAAACAAACTTTGCAGATAATTCAAGTTCCACAAAATGTTGTGCTTATCTGGAAGCAGTACTAAGAATTTTGCACTCATCCGTCCATGAAGAGGTGAGAATTTTTAATAAAAAAGAAGGGATACTAAATGAAGACTTATTGCAGCTGCACAAATATCAAGAATTCCACAGTTCTCTGCATCGAAAAGTAACATTATTTTATATAAATGATGCCTCATCACTTTCTTTTCATAACAAAATAGTTTTGCAAGAAGGTCTCATTTAAATGGTCAGATGAAACATTTTTTTTCTCAACGGTATAGTATGTCTGTAGGGCTTTATATGTGATTTTTTTCCAAATGTATTTTACTGTTTAGCTGTTAATTGCTTTTGGTTAAATACCTTTTTTAAGCAATAGTTCTAAAATAATTTGTTCCTCTTCATTCAGGACAAAAATGCACGTATGGCATTAAGTGCAAATTTTCCCACCCAGAAAGGCTAAATCAGCAGCAGCTGTCAGTTGCAGATGAACTAAGGGCCAAAACAAAGCATGCCTTCATTGAGTCAGAACATTGTAATGAGCTGCTGACAAAGGGTCATGCAAGGTTCAACCCAGTTTTCTCCCTTCCAAGCTGCTACAAGTGTCCAGAACAGTTTGTGAGTACCAAAGAAACCGTTCCAAGTTTAAAGGTGATGCAGATACCATGTCTTCCAGAGGAAAGGAAGCTGGAGTACTCTAATATGTTCAAGAGAGCTGGCAGCAGTAGTCATCAAGGATTAGCTGTAAACACCTTACAGCAACAAAATCCAATTCTGCATAGAGAATTGAGTAGTACTGAACATACCTTTTCTGCAATGCATATATGTAACTGGACTTATCCAAAGTCAGATAGTGAAAAGATGCAATATAGAATGACAGATCAAAATCACTGCTGTAGCTGTAATTATATTAATACTGACTATATCCTCATTCCGCACACACATAGCATGGACTGTACTTGCATCAAACAACATTACCTTCCATGTAACTTTTTGTCTGAGACTTTTCCTCATAACAACCACACACAAACTGGTTACTGTGAACATCAGGAAAGTAGACAATTGCTTTGTTTACATGAACATTGCAGACATTCGAAAAACAGATGCATTCATACACATTGCCAGAGAGAAGACACTTTGCTGTACCTTGAAAGTGTGAAAGATATTTATAAGGAACCAAAATGTAACACGACTCAACCACAGCATCCTACAGTGAAGAAAACATCCTGGAGCCATGGACATCACACTGGGAATGACTGCTCATCTTCAACGCTAAAGAAAAATTGTGGGCATTTAACAGACACACATCTGAATCAGAGGAAAGAGATATATGCTTTATTATGTGGTCTTTATACAAATGCGGAGGTTGACCAAGCTATGGCTGCAAACCCAGAAACAACCAATGTTATAGAATTAGCTACCTTAATTCAAAGAACTAGAAGGTGTTGACCATTTTGTAAAAGAATATCCAGTGCTAAAATATAAGAGAACATTACCTTCAGCCTTCAGGACAAATAATGTGTTGAGGGCATTTCAAGTGATTTAACATCATTTGGAAATAAATCTACAGCATTAGGACAAGCTGAAATGCAATGTATAGTCAAAATCCCACATAAAGTATCTTTCATAAGAATGTTACCTATAAAATCTCCATAGACTTTGACAGAAAGCTGATATTGGCTCAAGAGAAGTAGGAATGAGGTTCAGGTTTGCTGTAACCATGGTGTCAGGGCAGATTCATGGTTCCATTGAATTTATGTGCAGATGCAACCAGGAGTACTTTTTTAAAACCATAATGCACTGCCTGGCGAGTAGGCTTCAAAGTGCCAATAAGGGTTTTTTTTTTTAATAAGCCGGCTCCCTCACTATAAAAGAACGGGCACAGAGCAGGCCGTCACTGTATTGGCAGCTGCTGTAAGAAAAGCATAGGGAAAGCTGAAAAACAAAATAGGTACATTAGGGTCAGTTAGAAAACTGTACTTTAATTCTGATTGCAAGCTCATTGGGCAATCAAACATTTTGCTGCTTTTTTCTTTTTTTATTAATGGGGACTTTTTTTGTCCTTGATTTTATTTTGCCGTTGATTTGAGATCAGCAATCACTTTTAGCTGCTGTTCTGACCATACCAAATGTTTTTTTTTTAAATGGCTTTTGTTTTGGGGGAGACATTTTGGGGTTGCATTTATTTTTGGGTTATATTGGTGTTAATGTTATGTTGGTAGGGAAATTATTTTAGGGGAAACTGAAAGACTTTTAAGATGGTATTTTGGCTTTTATATCTTTTTTTTGGAAAGTGGTGGGGGTACTTTATGTTGATAGGGCCTTTTTTCAAGCTTAGGGTTCTTATAGCTCTGACATAGAGCTGTCTTTGCTTCACATCACATTGTTGCATTGTTTTGAAGAAAAAAAAACCATTGTAAGTGCAGGAACAATGTGCCCCTAAGCCACCTTATAAGCTGTCACTCACATTCACCATACCTCCCTATCCCCATAGATAGAACACAAATCAGGCAAACACTGGTTAGGCCTATCATATATGATTAGAACTATCCTGCTTCTGGCAAATATTGCACTGCTATATCCTCTGAAGTATTTTAATTCTTGAAGTAAAGCCCCAGCCTGTACTCTTTGTCACTTTTAGGTTTGGAAATAGCCATGTGTCATCTGTGGTCTTTTAATTTTAGTAATAAATCACCTGCCTGTATTTTTTTTCCTCTAGTACATTTTGGCCAATTCTCCCTCAATAAAAATGTTTTGCTGCTGATCAATTTGGATTGATAAAAATTGGCTAGTGGTAGGAGAGTTTTGCATCAAAGGGACAACCTCTGGAAACTGGTGGTCAAATTCTATCTGGCCAATGGACTAGTGATTGCCTGCCTTCTTCTACGGCTAGGCTAAACTCGGTTGTGGTTTCATCTTCAAAGGAGGAGATTGTTAGAGAACAATCTCCTCTCCAAGCTGTCCAGCACTGCTTGGCCCATCTAGCATTGCCTAAAGTACAGTGTAAAGTTATGACGCCTACATCTACACCGCATACTAAATTAGCCAAACACTGTAGCACCTGCAAATATTGTTAATTTAGCTGCCTACACATCGAAGTAGGGATGTCCCTATGCCGATACCAGACATTTTCAAGAGTACTTGTATTCATAAAAATGCCCCGATTCTTAAGGCCGATACCGGCCCCTTACATTTTTAAACCGCACTGGCTGCTGAGTTCCCGCGCTCGTGGGAACCTCGGCAGCCAGCTGTCCCTGGCAGTGCCTGTCCAGTTCTTTATCACCTCCTCCTTCCTGGCGCAGGCACAGACACGAACAGTCCCAGGGGCGGAACTACCGGCGGTGCAGCTGGAGTGCCCGCCCCAGGGCTAGAAGCTGGGGGGTCCCGTCGCCCACTGACAGGGGAGGACTGGGCCGGGAGAAGGATGAAGGTTGGGGGGCCCAGCAGCGGAGATGGTCTGCCCTAAAATCATCAGTCTGTTTTGTTTTAGAAAAAAAAATGCCACATGAGGGAAAATACTCGTACTTTGTCTTAAAAAAGTGGTATTGGGACATCAAAGGAAACTACCCTCTGCCATACTGCTAATCAAAGCTGTAATGAGGCACCATAGGAGGTTAAATAAAGAGAAAACATAGATAGATACCATGTCTCCTCGAAAATAAGACCTACCCCAAAAATAAGACCTAATACTATTTTTGGGAATTGCTAAAATAAAAGACCTACCCCGAAAATAAGACCTAGTTGTGACCATTCTCAGGGCCGGCGGTGGCATAAGGGGGAACTTGAAGAGCCGTGGGAGAGGCTGGAAATCTAACTTTCTGTAGTGAGCTGACAGCACTGACTCTGCTGCACTAAAATCCCAAGCAATGTTGTCTACCCTCCTTAAAAAAGAGGGGGAGATGTTCTTATATAAATGATAACAGCATGGGTGATCCACTGAAAATCATATGTGCAATGGAACAAGAAGTGTAGGCTGGCAGCCAAGTGTACACTAAATTTATTCAGATGGTAAATACAAAAAAATGGAAATAAATTGACCATCTAAAATAGCTGCCAATCCCTGCCTGTGTCTCCCTATATTGAGTCCAACATGGGAATAACTGAAGAAAAGGGTAGAGTGACACAGGGCAACCTCTCCTCCTTTAAGGGACATGAAACTTGCTTATACTGTATGTCTTTCTGCTTCATTGGAACAATTTTCAGATGAGATTACAGAAGTTTTAAATAGTCTGCCATTAACATTTGTATTATGTTACTCCACCCAAACCCTACATCACCCCTTGATACATAAAATGTGTCTAGGGAGTGTAGAGATGCACAAATGCAAGAAAAATGTAGGATTAGGAAGGAGCATATATAAAAAGAGAGAAAATTAACCATTTTTTCTCTTTTAAAATCAGTACGTAAAATCAGTACAAATGTCGAAAATAATATTGCAAAATATGGTTATAAAAAAGTATCAGCAGAATAAAGAAATAACAATATTTGCAAAGGTGAACATAAAACATTAAAAGGAAAGGGAGACAATAACAACGTTAAAGTGGTTCTAAAGCCTCCGTTTTTGCTGCCTATATCTACTGCTATCAAGCAGTAGATATAGGCAAAAAGTAAGAAAAACAAAAACGCTTTAACAGCGGTTTACACTTACCTTGTTTTGGCTGCTCGCTCCCGTCTGAGAAAACTAAACTGCTCCTGCGGCCGCAAAGCATCTTGGGGCGGGCGCATGTGCAGTTCGGATTCTCGGCCGGGAGACGAGCAGAGACGCAAGGTAAGTGTATGGACGCGTGCACCCGCATGCAGACACCGCTGAATCGGAAGTGCCTGCAAGCAGAGAGTCAGCGCTGGATCGGAGAGCCGCTGCACCGCTGGAGAGTCAGATGAAAACATGGGGAAAGAAGAGGAAGATCGGATCATTTAAGACATCATTTAAGATAAGTGCTGACATTAACATGTGGGGAAAAAAAATATCCTTTAATGTCACTTTAAATTACATATTTAAAAGCCAAATTATACACATAGATGGCCACTAGATGGCACCTAAACATATGCAAGCACCATAAAAAATTTAGATACATGATAAAAATATAATTTTGTAAGGTAATATGGATCAATAATTGTCAACAAAACATGAATACAAATTCAGAACATATTGTAAAACATTAAGGCCTGTTTACACCATAGCACTTCGTTAAATGCATGGCATCCATATATTTACCGCATGCTATTGCATAGCACACTGTACCACATGCTAGATGCATGGATGCGTTGCATTGCCATTCATTTGAATTGGCCCACCATTGCACCTCTCAACAGGTATGAGTTGCAGTGCAATGCGCCATACCACAATACCTTGTGTTGTGTTGCAGTGAAAAAAGGAATACATGCACTACTTTTTTTTACTGCAATGCACAATATTGCGGTAGTGCACGTTTTGCTGCACTGCAACTCATGCTTATTAGGAGGTGTGGGGTAATTCAAATAAAGGCCAAAGCATCGAAACAGTGCACCTAGCATGTGATGCAGTGCGCTTTCCAATAGTGTGAGCTAAACATACATATCCCATGTGCTTAGAGTGACGCTATGGCATGAACAGGCCCTAAGGGCTCATTTACACCATGAACATAGATTTGCATTTTTTCTGCACATGTAAAACACAGGTCTCTGCATGGGCACACAGAAAATATTTGCTTTCTATGTGCCCCATTCACACCAAAACACTGGTGT